ATCAAGAAGAAAAAGATTCTCAACCCTGGTCCAATTTGCAAGCACCATGATAAATGAAGAAGAGATTGAGGTTGTTAGCAATTACAGCTTGCTTGGATCCACAATGAATATTCTTGGCACCCGCAGTCAGGAAATCAAAAGACAAAATGCATTGAGAAAATCTGCTATCATGAACCTCTCCAAAGTGCTGAAGACAATGATGTCAGTCTAGATACAAAGATATGCCTAATCCAAGCCACAGTCTTCTCAATTACTTATTATGCTTCAGAGAGTTGGACAATGACTAAAGATGGCAGGAGAAGAATAGATGCCTTCAAGTTGTGGTGCTGGAGATGAGTCTTGAACATACCATGGACTTCCAAGAAAACAATTGGTCTATCTTGGAGAGGATGAAACTAAATCTCTCCTTGGAGGCTAGGATTTTGAAACTCCACCTCACTGAAGAGGACCTGAAGCGCCTGCTGCAGAGTGTCAAGGACTGCAGCCTACAATATGGATTGAGGCTCAATGTCAAGAAGACAAAGATTCTCACCACTGGACCAATTGGCAGCATCAGGATGGATGGTGAAGAGATTGAGATTGTACACAGTTTTAGTTTGCTTGGCTCTGTAGTCAACAGTCTTGGCACCAGCAACCAGGAAATTAAAAGGTGCATTGCCATGGAAAAGTCTGCTGTTAGGGACCTCTCCAAAGTACTGAAGAGCAATGGTGTCTCTCTGGAGACTAAGGTGCGTCTGATACAGGCTATGGTCTTCCCAATCACTTGTTATGCATCAGAGAGTTGGACAATGACCAAGGAGGATAGAAGGAGAATTGATGCCTTTGAGCTGTGGTGCTGGAGAAGAGTATTGAGAATACCATGGACTGCTAGGAAAACAAACAGATTTGTCCTGGAAGGGGTTAAACCGGGTGGCTCCTTGGAGGCAAGGATTCTGAGGCTCCGTCTAACTTACTTTGGACATGTTGTGAGGAGAGACTGGTCTTTGGAGAGGGACATCATGCTTGGGAGGGTGGAGGGACAGCGCAGGAGAGGAAGGCCCTCTATGAGGTGGATGGATTCAATGACTGGGATGATTGGGATGGGAGTGTCAGAGACAGTGCGATTGGCACAGGACAGAGCGGAGCTTAGGACTGTTGTGCATAGGGTCGCTATGAGTCGCAAGCGACTCGACGGCACATAACAACAACAACCTCACTTTGGGCATGTGGCTAGGAGAAACTACGTGCTTGGAAGGGTGGACAGACAGCACAGGAGAGGAAGCCCCTAGATGAGATGGATTGATACTGTAACTGGGGAGATGGGCGTTAGTATGTCAGAATTAGTGAGACTGGCTCAGGACAGGGAAGAGTTCAGAGCTGCTGTACATATTGGTTTGCTATACGTCACAGGAGACTCATTGGCACATAAAACAAGAACATACTATGACAGGTTCAGAAGCAGGAGTGGCATCCACTTCATAAACAACATGCCTCTGGAAAATCTATGAATTTAGATAAATGTCAATAGTTGTAGAGGGGCTTCAGGCCTTTTGTTCTTAGGGTCGCTATGAGTCGTGCTCAACTCGAAGGCAATTAGCGTTGTTGTATACCATCGAGTCAGAACTGACACATAGCTGACTCTCCAGTGAATTTTTAGAGGCAGTTAATCGCTCTAGAAAAGATTGCCTATACTTCTCCCAGGGAGTAGGTGGTGTATTCAAACCTTATGCCTTCGGGATTGCAGCACAGATTCTTACCACTAGGCCACCAGAGCTTTCAGTTCCTATACTACAGCCTATTCAAATTGTGTCCATCTCAAAGCTCTAGTGATTTAGACAATAGGGATTTGCACTGGTAATCCAAAGGCCTGGCTGTTCAGATACACAAACAAATGATATGATAAATCCATGTGAGAAAGATGGGCCATCTCCGATCTTGATATTTACATTCTCAGAATTCCACTGAAGGGTCAGCTATAAATTGGTTCAGGCTGTATGTCTGAACAATTTTGATAGTTTTACAAAAGGTTTTTCTTTCTATCTTTGTCTCTCTACCTATGCTAATGCTTTATTAGAAAATGTGTAAGTGTAAAAAATGTACATTTTCTCAAAACTGCTTCTTATAAAGGAAATCCTCAGTGTGTTTTCTAAGTAATCCTTTTAAGAGTGTATTTTAAAGTGTTCATCTACTATCAGAATACAATGATATACCTAAAGTACAGACAAAAAAAACCTATTGACTGTTGATCTTTTTTTCTCTCTGTGGTTGATAACCATAGGCTAGGACTTCCAATTTCAGAAATTGCTTATATGACAGTTCTGATAAATATCTACTGACGGCTCAAGATTTCTTAAATATTAAATTTGATAATTTCTTATTAATGTTTAACTTTTATTTCTATAACTTCTAGTGAAGTAAAATACTCGTTTTAAAATCTTACATCTCCATAAACTACTGGAGGTTGGAGAAAATTAATGCTTTATATCTTTAAACACCCACATTATGGTTTCTATGTTATAAGAATTTTAATGTATCTTGCATATAAGTAAATTAACAAATCAATAAATCAATGAACTGTTATATGCTGAACATTTACAAATAATATACACATAATACTTAATTTAAAAATATTAATTTCTATAAATATGGCTTATTAAATGGTCCCACTTATTTTTTGTCATATACAAGTTAACTTTATATTATATTGAGAAAATATTTACTAAAAAGAAAGAAAGAAGAAATACAGTATAAATAAGAAGGAAGATCTTAGTGTATTTTCTGGTCTTCTCCATTGAAGAGTTTTGATTAGAATTTTAAATCTTGCAACCTTTTCAAGAGGCAGCTCACATTCTAATAAGTGTATGTTTTAAAACCATCTATTAATCTTTAGAAATTCTTATTGTGAAGTCTCCAAATGAAGATATGCTAGGAACATTTGCTTTTCCATTTTGAAGTCTCTAATTAGGAGACAGTTGGGACTCACAGTCAGGAGATCAGGAGATGTATTACAATGAGAAAGTCTCCAGTCAGGGATCTCTTCAAAACACTGAGGACCAGTGATGTTAGATGTTGAGGACTAAGGTGTGCCTGTTCCAGACCATGGTCTTTTCAATCATTTGCTGTGCTGCTGAGAGCTGGACAATGAATAATGATGACGGAAAAAGAATTGATGTCTTTGAACAATGGTGTTTAGAGAAGAGTACTGGCTATCCCATGGGCTGTCAAAAGAAAAACAGACACGTCTTGGAGAAGGTGCAGCCAGAGTTGTTCTTAATAGTCAAGAATGGTGAAGCTTTGTCTTGAATATTATTAGGAAAGGCTATTCCTTGGAGAAGGGCATCATGCTAGGAAAGATGAGAGGAAGACAAAAGAGAGGAAGATCCTTAACCTGGTGGATTAACATAGTGACAGCAATAGGCTCAAATGTGTCAGACATTATGAGGTTGGCACAGGAAAGGGCAAGGTTGTTCACAGGGTCACTTTGCGTCATTCTTTATAAACAGCACCTAACAGCAACAGTTAGGACACAGGAAATTTGGAAGACAGCTACATGGCTAATTGACTGGAAGAGATCCATGTTTGTTCCTATTTTGCAAGAAAAATGGCCCAACAAAATGTGAAATTACTGAACAATATCATTAATATCACATGCAAGCAAAATGTTGCTGAAGATCATCCAAAAATGGCTAGAACAGGACATTGACAAAGAATTGCCGGAAGTTCAAGCTGAGTTTAGAAGAGGCTTTGGCACCAGGATATCTTTTCTGAGATTAGCTGAATTTTAGATGAAAGCAGAGAATACCAGGAGAATATGTATTTGTGTTTTATTGACTTTTATTGAAAAGACATTTGACTCTGTGGATCATAATAAATTATGGCTAACATTTGGAATAATGGGAATCCCAGAATACTTGATTGTGCTCATAGAAAACCTAGATCTAGACCAAGAAGCTGTTTTGCGAACAGAGCAAAGAAACACTACATGGTTTTGAATCAGGAAAGGTGTGAGTCAGGGTTGTTGTTGTTTTTTTTTTCTCCTTACCTATTCAGTCTGTTCACTGAACAAATCATTAAAGAAGCTGGACTCTATGAAAAAGAATGAGTGTTCATGTTCAGAGGAAGACTCATTTACAACCTGTGTTATGAAGATGACATAATCTTGTTTGCTCTAAGTGAGGAGGACTTGAACTGCTTGCTGCAGAAGATCAAACACTCTTGTCTTCAATATGGATTACCTTTCAACATTAAGAAGACAAAAATACTCATCACTGGACTGAAAAGCAACTTCATGATAGATGGAGCAAAGATTGAAGGTGTCAATCATTTCATCTTACTTGGATCCACAGTCAGCATCCTTGGTATAAGCAATCTCCTGGAAATCAGGAGAGAAGAGTACTGAATACCTCATGATGGCCAAAAGAACAAACAAGTCTGTCTTGGAGGAAGTACAACCAAGGTAGGTGCCCTTTGAGGTAAGGGTGATCTTAATTGTTTTCATCTATTTGTTGTCAGGAGGCATGTTCCTTGGAGAAAGACATTGTGCTGAGAAAGGTTGAGAGTCAGAGAAAGGCAGACCCTCGACAAGCTAGGTTGACCCAATGACTGTAACAATGGGATAGAGATTGTGAAGATGGAATAGAATATGTCAAAGTTCAGGTCTATCGTTCCTACGGTCACTATGAGCCTTAGTCTACTCGATGGGTCCTAACAGCACCCTTTAGCTATTGGGATATCTGGTGCCGTAGTCCACAGAGAGGTGGGCTACTAACTCAAAGGCTGTTTTTCTCTGGAAGTTTGAATCTGACAGCACTTCCAAGGGATGGGCAGTCCTCTCACAAGAAATTTACAGCCTTGAAAATCTGATGGAAGAACAGCTATGAAATAGAACTGTATTTTAGAATTATTCTCCTTACACTACATAATTTTCCTAATTGAGTTCTCCTACTGCTTCTCCAAGTGAATAATGAGTAAGTGAATCATTATATTTTCTAAATGGGGGTTTGTTTTCCCCCCAATTATAGGAAGAAGCAGCAACATCAGCAATTGGAAAGAAAGAAAGCGTTGATAATTTGGGAAATGCTCTAAGACAGCAAGGAAATAATGAAAACCTGACCAATATTAATAAAGAACACACAAACACAAACAGTAAGTGAATATAGGTAAAGTAATCTACACTTCACTAATACTCTAAAGAACTTAAGTGTTGATTTTCCTTTATATATTTTCCTTGAATTGGCTCTTTTCATAAGTTACCTAAACCTACTTCAATATCTAAAATTATTTTTCTATCATTTTTACTTGTTGACAGAAATATTCATGAGTGAGAAACATTAGCATGTTTATTTCATATTCACAGTATTGAATATTCTTATCATGTCTATCATTATATTTTATAGACATGATCTCAACAGGATTAGAAGACTACTCTTCATTTGATTCTGAGGTACTATCATAGAATCATAGTGATGTTAAAGATGAAAGAAGATGCTTTCTTTGACTTTCCTTGCCCAGTTATTCATATACTGGGAAATCCACAGAAATTATTTCCTTCTACTTTTCAAACTATAACTTACTTGTTATGAGTTAAATATCTGCAAGTGCAGATACTTTTGTTAACTTAAGGATTCACTTCATGAACTTAGTGTTGCTGCTATTGTTGTTGTTGTTATGTACCCTCTTGTCAGAACAACTCTTAGCTGACCTCCCTTCCCCAGGAGTTTTCAGAGGCAATATAATCCCCTGGGAGCAGATTGCCCATCTTTCGCATGTAGAGCAGCTGCGGATTTGAACCACCTTTGTGTGGGTGGTATAGTTTCCTACCAGTGAGCCACCAAAGTTAGTGTAATGGAATAGAAATTTTAAACTAATCATGACTTGGAATTTAAAAAGGAACCAATTTGGGGTCTGGATTTAAGTTTCTATAAAAATTGCAGTTTTTCCAGATCAATATGAAACCAAATTTATGATTTTAACTGTAAAAGACCTACAAGATCCAGAGTGAAAAGTATGTGTTGGCATTTGTTTTGTTTTCAAACTACTTGGACCTTGGAAAGGTCATGTCAAGTACTTGAAGGTTTCATTACATTTGTAATGTCAGATAGAGCTACAAGAGATGGAAAGGGTGGGAGCAGAGGGGTGAGGATGAGGAGGAGGTGATGGTTAATCATAGGGTTGCAAATGATGGCTGAAAGGAGGGGTAGATAAAGGAAATGGGAAATATTCCAAAGTGTAAAATACAATGTATATTAACATTGTAAATAAACCAGTATAAAATAAAAGTTTTATTTAAAGAAAGACAAGTAGAGCTACAAGGAACATTAGAGAAGAAAGAAAAGCTTAAGAATACATATGTTCTGGGTGAAATATCTCAGTCACAAAAGGACAAATACTGTGTAGTGCAACTGTTGTAAAACGGGACTGACATTGGGGTTGGGGAGAAACTGAGAAAGATGGGATAAATTATGTATACTGCATTGAAACAGATTAGGGAGAGAACTGTTTAAAAGGGATATATGATCAGGTATTATTGTCATGACAGGAGTCCAGAACGAAGGCTGCATAGTGGAGTGGACTTGGGGCGCGAAATGATATAACAATGAAAGAATTTTTCTGTCACTTTTCAAAGAGATGAGTGAACTGGGGGGAGGGGTGGTTAGGGAGAAAAATACCACAATGAATGAATGGAAATCCAAAGTCTCTGTAAACTTTCACTAAAATTAAAAAAAAAAAAAATTAAAATCCTACTGGAGGTCCCAACTTGATGGTACATAACATCAACATAGCCATCATTCTATGTTCTCAGGGGCTTTTTTGAGAAATCTTTTGGTTCCCATAAAGATTAAGTTTTTAGAGGAAAAAGAAAACATATGTTCTATTACAACAAAAATGATTTGTTGTCAGTGTATTTTTTTATTTTAAATTTTTTT